CTAATTTCTAAACAGGCTAATTTAAAGGCTAATTTCTAAACAGGCTAATTTAAAGGCTAATTTCTAAACAGGCTAATTTAAAGTCTGTTTAGAAAGAAGAAACGCTTCCGGTGAATTTTCATCTAATCTGAAGACTTTTAGTCACGTTTACTCTCTGTGGTCTCAGCCTACGCTGGCTGTTAGCGCCTTACAGGACTACAACTTGTCAGCTTGTAGTCCTGCTTTGCTAATCTTGGTTGCTGTTAACGTTGCCAGGGAAACCTGAGGGCTCAACCATTACTGCGACCCCTCGCTGCCTTTTTTAGTAATTACTTGAATTTGAGGAGTTATCCGAAGTTTCCCGGTAACTGTCTGTGAACGTGCGCTCCCGTGCGTCAAACACGGCGCAGCTGCGCGACCACACGTGGCTGATCAGCGGCGCGAGCAGGAAGCACCGGCGGGAGTGATTAACGCCGACTTCCTGTCAGCAAACGCTGCCCAAACAGGCCGATGTTCGCGCAAACTCTACCGTCTCTGTCCTCGCTCTGCTGCGCGCGGGTCCTCCGTCCTCCTCTTCTTCTTCCTCTCCTTCTTCCTCTTCGGCTCCCAGCACAGGAACATCTGCTCAGGCCGGGATCCCGCCTGGAAACGTGTCTTTGTCCTGCCCCGTGTAAAACATCCCAAAATACAGGCAGCCAGGCCGGAGCGGCTCACATTTCACTGCGGTCAACTCTGCGCACATCTGGAGCACGGCCGGGCCTCAATACTGCTGCGACTGCCACTCAGACAGCCAGAGCCCAATTAACTGGGAGGAGTGAGGAAGAGGGGCCCAGGGAGAGATTCAGTATCTCCCGGTTCATCTGTTTACTTCAGCTGGAGGAGGGACAGATAGGAGGAGGAGGGGATAAAGGAGGACCGAAGGATGAAGTTAAGGACGGAGGAAAGAGGAACTGAGACCACAGCGGGGAGTAAATTAAAGGAAGAAGATGAAGGGGAAAGCAAAACAAAACAAAACATGGAAGAAGTTATCAAAGGGAAGAAATCACAAAGAGCAAAGAAGGGAGGAATAAAGGAATGAGGGAGAAGAAACAAGGATGGATGGAAGGACAAAACAAAATTTAAAAAAAAGAGGAATGCAGGGAAAAGTACCAGATCAAAGAAAAAGACAACATTAACTGAAAGGAACAAGCAGGGAAGGAGAAGGAAAGATTTGTAAAGAAACAAGGAGAGGAAGTGGGATGAGTTCAAGGAAGGCAGAAACGAATTGAAAGGAAAGGAAGGAAGGACAAATTTAAAAGAAAGAATGAAATGGAATAACAGACAGACGTGAGGAGGGGGGGCTATGAAGTGAAGGAAACAAAGACGTGAGACAAAATGTATGGGCAAGGACAGAAATGAGTCAAAAAGAAGAAAGGAAAGAAAAGGAAGCAGTTAAGCCACAAATGATGGGATGCAAGTAAAAAGGGAAAGAGGAAGGATTGAAGAAAGGAGAAAAAAATGGATTAAAGGAGGAAAGAGATGAGAAAGGACATGTGGGGGAAATCCAAACTAAGTTAAAGAAGGAAATAAGGAAGGTCACGAGGAAATGGAAGAAAATGAATGATAAGTAGAAAAGGAATAAGAACGTGGAGTATGAAGGCATTAAACCCCACGAAAGAAAGGAAAGAGGGACAAGAGGAAAACCGTAAGGGTGGATGGAGGTACAAAAAAGGGAGAAAATAAATAAAACCTGAATGATGATAAAAGGTAATGAAGGAGAAGGAAACAATAAAGGAAACAGCACACACACTGAATCTGTGGGAGGAACAAAAAGTGAAGAAATAACTGACAAAGAAGGAATGAAGGAAAGGTGGAGTGGGTGGGAGGGTGTGAGGAGATAAGAGCGGGCAGGAAGGAGGCTGAATGTTTGCTGTAATCATCCCCAATTTAAACAAACAGCCTCTACAGGTCGAGATACTCGAGTACTCGCCCCCCCTCTGCCTGTCACATGCCTGAGTTTGTAATGCTGAGCGTTTGCTCACGCTGAGCCCAACGCTCAGGCTGCTCAACACTCAGTTTATCACAGTTTGTTCCCCTCGTGGGTCTGTATGATGTCATAGAGAGGGGATGTCCATATCTGGCCTCGCTGATGGGAAACCCCGCCTGAAGCATGCAGCAGCTTTTGTAAAAAAAAAAAAAACAGGAACAAACCTGCTTTGAGTGTATTGGCTCAGGGGGAGGAGCTAACATAGCGTCCCTCTTTAGGCAGTGGGTGAACAGTGGTGGTGATGACACCGAGGCCCAGAATAAGAGAAGGGGATTATTGGTGCAAAGCCACTCTAGCAGAGAGCTGAAATAAGCAGGTTTTGCATTTCCGATGGGATGCTTTCAGTGGGTTCCACCCTGAACACATGCTTTAAGAATTTACTCCAACCCCTGCCCACCTGCAGGGGGTGTGGCTCAAAGCAGTGAAGCATTTGTTTTTATCACTTTCTCTTGATTCTCATTTAAATTTTTTTTTGGAAGAACACATAAAATCATTCACTGTCATGTTTGAGCATCTTCGTCTCCTAGCAACAGACTCCTGTCTGAATCTTTTTGGATGTAAACAATCAACTTCATACAAAACCTCTGACAGTACGTTTATTATTGGCTCGCCCGGTATTACTGGGTTTGATCGCTGAGGCTTCCTCCTGCATCATGGACGAGTCTGCGTTGGAGCGATGCTTCGATGAGTTCATCGCTAATGTGAGTTTTCATTTTTTCAGCTGCTGGTTTAAAAATCAAACCGGTAAACTGCCGCATTTCAGACCTGAAAATCAAAAGTGGAGAAAATTTCAACTCTGGTCCACTCGTCTTCATAGAAGTGATTGAATCCAGACACAAGCCTGTTAAGGTCACGCCAAAGTGTATCTTTAGATGATGATGTGCTGCAGTCGTCACAGACTATATACTGAAACTAGCCAGCTAACCTGCTAACTACTAACAGCTGGGTGTTAAACTTTAACCTGACACCACGGTGAACAGTGACCAGTCGTTTCGCTGGAGAGGAATTCAGACCATTTTTGAGTTGGACTGATTTCAGGATGTGAAGGTTGGATCTGGAGTTATCGACACTGAGCTTGTTCATTTCTGGACACCACACAGAGCAGAAACATGTAGCACCACGTTAGCACATAGGCAGATTCTCTTCTTGCTGCAGGACCCCAGGAGGACAGAGGATGTCAGCGAGGAGGTCGGCGAGGAGGAGCTGTTTTTCAAGTTATTGCCTGATGAGCTCCTGACACTGAACACGGTCACCTGTGACGATGCAGGTACGACAACAGAGCCGACAACACTCTGCAGACGGTGCGATCATGACTGGGTGGAGCACTGAGCAGTGACCGAGCTGCATCCATATACTGTTAATCCATAACTGCTAATTAGCACTTAGTGACAGTTGGTTTTGGAGCCTCGAGTGGACGTCAGAGGAACTGCAGTTTATGGTACTTTCAGCTCTGCTGCTCTTGTTCGTGCCTCAGACAGAATCTGTAAGAAGGAGGATCGGACTGCAGAGAGCGGGATCGCCGGCACGCAGTCACGAGACAGCAGCTCCCAGAATTCCTCAGCAGAAGCTAAGCCCACGTGTGCGTCCTCCTCGTCTGAACTGAAGGCCCTTCCTGTTAAACCCGGGACCCCGGAGGACCCTGAGACACTGAAGGAGAAGTCGTCGAATCTCGTCCCAGTGATATGGTATCACCGCAGAGATCACAGTCTGCTTCTGTCCAATGACGGCTCTGCGGCTTGAACATGCAGCTGTGACTCTTGTGTTTTTATGTGTTTGCGTGCAGTAACGTCATCTCCACAGTGGACCTGGGCTGCTGTTTGGACCTGAAGTTCATTGCTCGCAGGATGTGGAACGTGCAGTACAAACCACAGGTGCAGAGACCTGAACGCGTGATCTACGTGAAGACATAATAAGCCCGGCACTGGTTTTCATTCTTGCTGTTTTTCAGTATTTCACAGGGATCATCGCTAGGATCCGGGAGCCAAAAGCAACAGCGACCATCTTCCGAACTGGGAAAATCATCTGCCTGGGAACCAAGAGGTTTGTCTGGATTCACATCTCCTCAGACTATGGTGCAGCATGGTGGGTTTCCAACCATCTCCTTGCTTCCTCTTTCTTTTAATAAGTGTGGAGGAGTCGCGCCTGGCGGCCAGGAAGTTTGTCCGCAAACTGCAGAAGTTTGGCTTTCCCGTGCGCTTCCTCAACTTTAAGATCCAGAACATTGTAGCCTTCTGCCAGACCTTTCCAGTGGATTTAGCAGAACTGCAGAAGGTCCACAAAGGGCAGTGCAGGTCAGGAGATAAGGACTCTGAGTAGAGGCTAGACCCAAACAGGGATGCAGGTTTGAAGCCCAACTTTGAGCACATCACGTGTCAGTCAACGCTACTCTGTGCTAGATCAGGGGTGTCAAACTCAAATACACAGTTAATATTTATTTAAAAAAAAATCTTCCTCCAGATATGAGAATGAATCTTTTCTTATGGACTCAAACACGTTTTGCTGAAAAACTGAATATGGAACAAGCAAAGCTTAATACTAAACAATATAAATATTAGCTGTATAATACCAGTAGGCCAGCTCTAATAGTCATTTGGTATGGCTTCGCGGGCCAAATGTAATTAGGCCCGCAGGCCAGAGTTTGACACCTATGTGCTAGATGATCTGAGACAGATGCTGACTGATGGCACTTGCTTTCAAATTTTGTTGAATATGAATCCCATTTTCTTCAGTCCCCGTGACGATGCTTTAAAGAACTTTAAAGTGGTTCAACACATGATGTGAAATGTGCAATCACGGATACTTTGAAGCACTTGTGAAGAAAAGATGTAGACAGCATGCAGTGCTGGGGAGTAACGGAGTACATGTACCAGCGTTACGTATTCAAAATACAAAATATGAGTAACTGTATTCTGTTACAGTTACTGTTTAAAAAGGTGGTATTCAGTTACTTTGTTGAAATAAATGGATTACACTCGGTCTTTTTCTTTGGTGGTAATTCCACGCCGGTGGAAACCCAAACAAAACGCGCATTAAGAGGCTCTAATGCCCGAGTCTCAATCTCACGCCCCACGTCACCCCTACTTGCAGCCGCATAATGACGTGAAGAAATATTTTTTAAAATTATTGTTCCAATAATGATTTAACCTCCTGAGACCTGAACTCTTTCATGGCATGCATTTTTAAGTTTTCTTTGCTATTTGGGTTGATTGGGACCTAAAGAATGTAAAAACAAAGAATTACCAGATTTTCTTTTTCCTAATTTTTATTTTTGAGAAAAATGAGATCCACATATGAGGACATTTGTTTCAAATTTTGATAGAACAGTTGCAGCATAATGTCCTCGTAAGTGGATATCAGGCCCTTATAGAGAAAAATGTGATGTCCACACATGTGGACGCCAGGTCCTAGGAGGTCAATATGAAGGCAATAGGCAGAGTGTTACAGGCATAAAGCATGCAGCCTCATGGGCAGTGTGGCCCAGCTGTGAGTAAGCTGTTAAGACTCGACTGTACGCTGTGTTCATGTTTTCCTCTGAAACAATAAGCTCCGTTGCAGCAGCCTTTCAACGCCTCTCTCAGTCTCTCACTAGCAAAGTCGACCCAGACAACAAAGTAAAGCTAGTTTTCAGCTACGAGCCCGACACGAACCCCACGTATCAGCCAGAGGTCCCTTTACTACGGTTCGGAGCCGCGGACCTGTTTTATATACGCGAGGAATAGTTTTCTATACGAGATTGCTGCAAAAAGTGCAGCCTTACCTAATGTCCACCTGCTGTTACTCATTTATATTAAGATTTAAACATCTAGCTGGCGTTGGTGTGGAGAGTAACCTTCAGTAATAGTAATAAATCACACAGCAATAGGATGTAGTTGTAAACAGCATGATAATATATTAAGTAATCCAAAGTATTCAGAATACGTTACTCACATTCAGTAACGTAACGGAATACATTACAAAATACATTTTGGGGCATGTAATCTGTAATCTGTAGTGGAATACATTTTAAAAGTAACCTTCCCAACACTGACAGCATGGTCAGTAAATTAGAATTAATGCCATTTTTTGCAGACACCGTAGTGGGAAGGTTCCCAGAATCATCCCGGGCACAGTTCAGTCAGACTGGATAGTAAACGCTTCTAAACTGGCCAGCTCCCACTGAGCCCTGGTGTCGTTTTTCTCCAATATTTTCTCTCCCAGTGTGTCTGCAGCAGTCTGTGTTTCGTTGCATGCTACGTAGGAGATCGCTAAACTGTGGAGTGTGTCCTGAAATGATTGTGGAAGGTTTTAGTTTCTACGTCGTGGAAACTGTGAGGTTTTAGTCTGTGTTCTTCTTTCTACAGTTATGAGCCAGAGTTGCATAACCGCCTCATCCTCAACCCGATTACCGGCATCAGAGTGTCCTTCATTTCAGCTGGGTGCATAAATGTGTGCGGTGAGCTTGTCCACACGTCACAGTTCAATTAAAAATGCTGCCCTGTGGTGAAAACTGACTGAAAAACTGACCTTTGACTTTTGTGGACGTCATCATGAGTGTGTGTCCATGAAATATCCCGTGTTACACTCCAGGAGCTAAAACCAGGGCTGAGGTCGACGCAATCTTTCAAACCATCTGCAGAATCCTGAGAGAGTACAGGTGGGAGCGAACATGCAGCGGAGCTTTGATTTCAAAGCCAAACTGATGTTAGAGGCAGACATGAATAAACTGACGCATGAGCGCCACTGCACTCCACTGTAGTTCCTGATTGCACCACTAGATGTCAGCACGGCTGCAGGCCGCTCTCAGTCAGTGGTTTAGAGACGTGCAGCTCTCGCCGTGTACCTCGTGTGTGTTTGCATTACTCACTCACAGGTGAGGTCAGGATCACCTGAGAATGAGCAGGAGGCCTCTGGGTGGACGTGACCTGCTGCTCGTCCATCAGAACGGCCAAAACAAGAGTGAATAACACGTCACTGCATCCTGATATCCTCTTAAACAGGTTCGTTATTTACAACCTGCCCTTCATTACATCACTCAACATTCAGTCGGCATGGAGCTCAGATTGGACGGTTTGGGGGTTTGGTCGAGTTTCCGTCATAGTGCATGCTGGGAAGTCTACTGGGATCGGCCTCGTTACCTGACGTTTTACTTTGGTGGGCGTGGCTGTGAGCCTCACCTTTCCTGAGGTCAGATTCACGATGAGTCATGAAAACGCGTCATTTGGTGTGTTCTCTGTGACCCGCTGACCGCGGGGATGGAGGCCCTTCCTGTCGTGTCTCCAGGGCTGCATCAGGAGGTGCGGTCATCCGGCCGCTGACACGCCCAGTCTGCATGAAAGCAGTGAATTATGGGAACACTTTCTCTCCTCTGAGCCTCTATGTGCTCTTCCTCCACTCACCGTCTGAGGCTCTCAGTCAGTTTCATCTTTTTTTGAGTTTCACATTTTGAAATTTCTTTTTCAGGTTTTTTGGAACAGCGACTGCTCATCGTGTGCTCGTGACCTCCTCGCCTCTTTGTATTTGATCTGCTTGAGCTGTTCGCATCCTGTCACTCTTGCTCCATTTGGCTCATGTCTTTCCCTCTCTAATAACATCCTCGACTTCCTCTGATCCTAATAATACCAAACAACAATCGTCCTGACACTCACACTTCCTGAACTCCCCACTCTCTTTCTTCTTCGACATCGATGCTCTGTGTTTGCTTCTCTGGTGGAAACGAGCTGAAAGTCATGTTTGAAAGTTTTTTTCTGTCCTTGTTTCCATTCTGTGTCCAAACAGGTTATTATGTAACAATTCTGTTAACATGGAAAACAAAATAAAGTCATAGAGGAAATATGCTCAGTTTGGGTATTTTTTTATTTATTATCACAAACTGCCTGATGAGCTTATTCAGAGTCGCTGCTTTTTAAAAGTTTTGTTTATATATTATATTGCCTCTGACATTTACCACAAACTCAAACTAGAAATCCCACTCGGGAGACTGAAACTGAAGGGAATGTTTAAAAACATTTGAAATGAATGAAAATAAAAATAAGAAAACAAACAGTAATAAAGCTTGTCTGAACAGAACAAACTGTCTGTTTTCTCCCCAAAATCCAAATGTCTAAAAAACAGAAACATTTTCTGAATGAATCCACGTTTCTGAACTGAGCCGGCAGCAGGAGGAGGTCGGGGTCGATGGAGGACATAAAAAGACCTTCAGTGACGGCGTTTCATGTTTTTCTGAGTTCTGCAGCTGTAAAGTCTGACAGTTAAATTCAATTTATTTATACAGCGCCAAATCACAACAACAGTCGCCTCAAGGAGCTTTATATTGTAAGGGAGACCCTACAATAATACATACAGAGAAAAACCCAACAATCATATGACCCCCTATGAGCAGCACTTTGGTGACAGTGGGAAGGAAAAACTCCCTTTTAACAGGAAGAAACCTCCGGCAGAACCAGGCTCAGGGAGGGGCGGGGCCATCTGCTGTGATTGGTTGGGGTGAGAGAAGGAAGACAGGATAAAGACATGCTGTGGAAGAGAGACAGAGGCTAATAACAGATATGATTCAATGCAGAGAGGTCTGTTAACACATAGTGAGTGAAGAAGAAACACCCAGTGCATCATGGGAATCCCCGGCAGCCTACATCTATTGCAGCATAACTAAGGGAGGATTCAGGGTCACCTGGTCCAGCCCTAACTATATGCTTTAGCAAAAAGGAAAGTTTGAAGCCTAATCTTACTGTCCTGATGAGCGCTGAAGGGAAAGTTCATTTAGATAAAGCTTCCAGATCTCTGCCCAAACAAGAGCCTGGAGGCTGTCTGACCACGAGCTGCAGATATCAGAATCATCATCTCCTATTGACTGAAACAGGCTGTTTGAGCTCTTGTCTCTTTACCCTCCTCCAAACACACTTTGTTCTGATTGGCCATCTTCTGGAAGCCTGCTGATGGGCAGCAGACCTTCTTCTTGCCGACTCTGAGGCCCCGTTAACCTAACTTGGCTCTTGGAGGCGTTTGGAAACTTTCTTGGAGCTCGATCCCAGGAGAAAGTTATCTGAGAGGTTATGTGACTGTCAGGTGACAGCAGGACATCAGGCTGGACCAAACGCAGGTAAGAAGGAGCTCACCACACAGTGAGCATTTAAACTGAGTCCAACAAGTACTTTTTGAAGTTTTCTCCAGTGAATTATCAGAAAACCTGTGGATGCCATTAAGTTCTTGCTCCTCAGTGCTTTGAGGCCATTCAGTGGTTAGCGTTAGCTTCTGGTTTACTTCTGCACACCTGCATGTGCAAAATGCCTTCATGGAAAATTCAGACTCCACAAGTTTTTTCTTCGTCCTGTTTCCAGGCTTCAGCAGTTTGGCCGGCCTCGCGGGGCCGCTGCTGTGACTGCACACTTTTAGTCAAAGGGTTTTTTTTAGCAACTGGGAGCTGTGAAGGTCCAAAAATGCAAAGTCAACTTTTCCACTTTGTTGTGAGCCAAACAACATCAGCATGTAGGATTACAAAGCACACCTGTATTCACAGGAAGGAAAGCACGAACTCGGAGCTGTGAGCTCCAATAGCTGCTAACTCACCACTTTACATGCACGGCCTGCAGCCATCTGTTGTACAGAGGAAGCACGGGAGGACGTCTCCGGAGACTCGGATCCAAAGCAAATAGCTCACATCATCCCTGACCCAGAAACGGATCTGGGAAGGAAGTGATTTAGCACTCGGGCACCGTGCCTGGATGAGTGTCCCAAAGGTCAGGAAGAAAAATCAATCAACCTCCGAGGCTTCATTAGACACTTCATTTCGCCCCGATTGCTTCATCTGAGCAGGAAACGAGAACTTAAATCACTTCCACATGAGCTGAAGCTGAGACTTTAAGTCGTCTTCTCGTCCACAGGTCATAAAACTGATCTAAAAGCAGGAAAGTGCCTGTGTCAGATTTACGAAGCAGTTTACTGTAAAAATCTGTCATGGTGAAGTTTCACAGGCAGGCAAAAGCCTCATCTCCACTCCCGTCTTTACCCGTGAATCAGCACAAATGCTGAACCCAAACTGCACATGTGGGAGCCTGAGATGATGTGAAATGACCCACATCAGGCAGGGTTCTCCTCTCTTGGTCTCAACACCCCCCTGTTCCGATTCAAAGGGCTCATCGGGGGGCTGAGGCCCTGCTGTGACCCCTCATCAGCAAACGCCTTTGCAAAAGTCTTTCAAGGGCTGAAAATAAGGCCAGATGTTCCCAGCTGCTCTCAGCAGGTCACAGACTGAAGTCGCTGCCGTCTCAGAGGAGAAGCTGACATTCCTGCAAATAAAAATAAGGAGCTGCTTTTTGTCTGAACTGTAGCATCACATGAAAGCCGAACAGGCCACACGTGTCCACACTCAGACATCCGTCCTGCTGCAGCAATCCTAAAAAAGCTGTTCTCTCTTCCTCTCCTGGTTGGAGACTAACTTTATCCTGCAGTCAGCAGAACGCAGCAGACTCAAGTGCATCTGAACTTTCCCTTTCTCCTAATGTGGGCTGCACCTGCATCTCATGAGCTTGCTGTTCCAGATGTTGACCTGCAGACTTCCATGAGGTCAGAACCACAACCACCTGCTGACAGCCAATCACGTAACCCGCTAACTAACTTGGAAAATAAATAAACCTGCACAGGTGCGGTCTGTCGCTCCCTCAGTGTGTCTGAAAATGCACAACAACAAAGCAGTGCCAAAAACTCTCAGACCTGTACACGGATAACCAAACATATGATTTCTTACTGCCTCACAGAGCTTTGATGTGGGAATTCGACTTTATTTCAATTTATGCTTTATTTTAAGGAAAATTCCAGTTTCCTTTAAAACATGTTATTAACATAATTTAGGTTTTGTCTTGCAGCGAATGAGCTGAACATGAAGTAAAACGGTGCACACATCAGAATCATCATCATCAATCTCTCATTTTTAATAAATAATCAAGTATGTAGAAGTATTATTAGTGCAGCTGTGGCATAAAGCTTGCAGGAGGCGGTCTCATCCATTTGTTAAGCACTGTGAAAAAATAAATTATTGCTGTATTAAAAATGTTGGTGAATATGAAGATAACATCCTGTAAATAAGATGCAATCAGTGTGAAACTAGCACTGAATGAAACATCCACAGCTCGCTGCACCCATGTTAGGTCGTTATCTTTGCTTTGCGCCACGATGATGATTCACCCACATTAGCATTTAGGATTATGTGACATACGGAAGAAATATGGCGTGCAAGCAAGTCGCATTCCTTTAGTTAATAAGTTGAATACGTGACTGAGTTTGAGCCTTTCAGGCCCTGTGGTCATGTCCAGACGAGCGTGGACGTGAGTCTGTTCAGACGGTAAACAAAGTTCAGCTGATTGGTCCCAGATGTTAACACGAGTTTGCAGCTGCAGCACGGAGGCTCCCGCGCTCGCTGCCGATGTGGAGGAGCTTTAACTCCGGGGTGGAGGTCCTCTGGAGGAGTCTGCAGTCCCAGTAAGTAATGGTAACCATCAGGTTTTTTCATCATACGTGCATTATTTATCACTTTAGGTGAGTATTGTATTTATTAGTCACACTTTCCAACTGCCTCTTCAGACCTGGAAGCTACGTCTTAACCCTCGTGTGATCCTGGCAGTGCCGTTTCACATGACACGTTTGAGGCTCATCTGTAGCTGGACAAACGTGACCAGGCTCTGCACAGGTGTGTTTCGGTCACAGGTGTAAGAAGGTGATGCCTTTTTAGAGTCAAACAAGTCAGAGCAAAGAAAACCAGCAGCCTTTTCAGATTCCAGATGTTAGCCTGTGTTTTAAAGACAAATGTGGGAGTAGCTGTGGTGTCAATGCTGCAGAGCTGACAGACAGGAGAGCAGCTGAAGGAAGGAAAGAGTTAAACCTCTGCTTCCTCCTCGGGTAGGAGGTGGTATGGAGGGGTGGGTGTGGCGGCGGTGGTGGGGGACCTCTTCTTCTATTGATAGCCACGTCCCCCCCGTTTATTCCTGCAGTGAGGACGATGCAGAGCAGCGAGCCAGAGGAGGCTCCACGCCGAGGAGACCCCGACCTGCTCAGACTCAAACTGGCGCTCTGAGGGATGGACGGCTGCTCGCTGACACAGTAAGTGCTCCCAGCTTTCCCGTCTCCACAAAATCACAACAACAGCCGGGACTGTTTAGTCACGCAGGCTGCTGGAATGTCGGGAAAGTCCTGATTTCAGGGAGGAACGTTAAAGCCTCGTCCTCTCTCTGTGGAAGTCAGGCTGCAGGAACGACTGTCTGCATTTTTAAAGCTGCTTCTTCTGGGATTTTATTTTTCTTGAAGCAGATTTCATTTCACACTGTGTGCTGTTGTATCAATAATAATGTTATTTCTGCAGCGCAGCAGCTTTCAAACACAGTCACAGACGGTCTGTGTGCTGCAGCTCCAGCAGTGTGTCAGTCCCCACAGACTCACACGTTCATTTCCCCTTCATCACACCTGTACGGGGGAGGAGAGGCAGCTGTAACGCACCTGTGTAAAGGTTTGACAGGTGGGAGGTGACAGCTTCAGGCTCATGTAGTCTCAGGCAGTGTCTTTACCTTACAGTAACGAGCACCTCCAGGCGACCGTTGTTGTGAGCTGCTCCATACAAACCAAACTGACCTCTGCATGTGACATTACCTGACCAATAACATGGCTGCTGTGAGGTCACCGCACACAAACAGAGAAGCAGACGGTCACAGCTTCAGCTCTTTGAGGTTTGCAGCATTCGTTCGTGCGCAGCGGTCTGAGCTCTGCACTCTGATTGGACCGCTGCAGAGGGCCGAATCTGCTGTGACTCCTGGAAAGGTTGCGTTAACACACCTGAACCATTCAGACCAGCAAACCACCAAAACGTCTACATCTGTAGAGACGCTCACACCGACGATGATCAATCAGTTAATCATCATTAGCAGCTCTCGTGGCTACTTACCCTCTAAGTGCTGGTGAGGACGGCCTTCTTTCACACACTCGGTGTTGTTGTTCTATATCAGAACATTTTTAAGATGATTTTTGTCATGTCCTCTCACGCCCTTTCCAATCAAAAATGATTCAGTTAGAGATCTTTTATCTCTGATCCAGTATTTCCACATATTTCTGCAGTGATTTGGTGTGAGCTGTTCGGTGTGGCAGCCGTAGAGATGTCTGCTTCTCTGGACTATGGCAGGTCTAAATGACACCGCTCTGCTCAGAGCATCTCTCACAGTCACTCCAACGCGTCTTAATGAAAACGAGCTGAGCTGCAGCAGAAAAAGTCGTTGATTAGGAGTGAAAATAATGAGGTTACAGCGGGGCCGGGCCCTCGTTACGCCTCGCATCATTTCCTGTGATCTTTCACTTTCAGGCCACTCTCAGGCTGCCCTCCCTCTGCCTCAAGTTAAGGCTTCGTTTACAGCAGAGGCTCTCGCTTCCGCTCGGAGAGACAGATGTCGCCACAAAGTGTGTCAGCGCCTCAACGACTTTCACATTTAATCTGTGAAAGTCGTTAGTTTGGCCTCGTTTCCACTCGAGCTCTGACCCAGCGACCCGTGTGATCCCAACCTGGTGCTGCACACATGGTCAGAGGCTGAAGTCAGGTGACCGTGAAGGGAAGGAGGCGTTGATGTGTAGCAGCTGTTTATCTTCTTGGCTGATGGTTTTAAACCAGCTGTGGAATAAAACAAAGTGTAACAATATCAGACGTAAACGATGCTTTAATGTCTTTGATGTAACCAAAAACGTATTTCTGACTTCACAGCTAGCTGTTCTCTGATTGGCTGATCCCTGACACCTGCATCAAGATGGCTCACCTGTTCCTCGCCAGCAAGATCACAATGCCCGATGACCTCCACAGCAAAGGTGGCGGTGGCAGGGTCCCCCGGAGCGCCATGAAGGTGCCGCCGTCCATCTCCGCCGAGAAGCTGAGCCGGGACAAGCCCAGGAAGGATCGTAGAGTCGTCGTGACAACGCACGTCCCGCATGTCAATGAAGTCCAGCTTACAGCGGCGACGGGCGGCGCCGAGATGTCCTGCTACCGCTGCACCATCCCGTTTGGCGTGGTGGTCCTCATCGCTGGCATTGTGGTGACGGCGGTGGCCTACACCTTCAACTCCCACGGGTCCACCATCACGGTGCTGGGACTGGTGCTGCTGTCTGTCGGGCTGGGGCTGCTGGGCGCCAGCGCCATCTGCTGGAAGGTCCGACAGAAGAAGAAAAAGGACAAGCGACGGGAGAGCCAGACCGCCCTCATGGCGAGCCACGGGTACTGCGTGGTCTGAGCTCAGACCTCTGACGTGAATAACAACACAAACTAACAGGATTTGAGACGCTTTACAAACTGCAGAGACCTCGCTGTGCTGTTTCCTCCTGCAGCTGACGCGAGGACAGCCGCAGATGTTAACGACGAGCGGAGCGAAGGATGCGTCTCGGACAAAGCATTACTAATGGAGACGCCTTCATCAGCTGGAGGTGTTGGATGAGGAAAAGCTTGCTTTAGTGCTGACACAAAGAGATAAATAACACGTCATTAATTTTACAAATATGCTGATAAACCAATTTTTCAAGCAGAAATTCAGAATATTTTCAGGTCCCAGCTCCTCAAATCTGCCCGATTTCTCTGATTTATCTGTCGTCGAGGTTCTGGAGTACAAACATGTGAACCTCCAAACACCCACCCTGCACTGGGGGCCCATTAGAGGAGCCCTGAGCCCAGACAGGCGACCCGGTGGGCGTTCAGAGGTCTGGGTAACAAAATCAAAGCCCCTCAGGTTTATTGTTGGAGCAGGTAAATGGATTCAATCTAATTATTGCCAAAGCATCAATTTTCTCAAAGACATAACTTAGCACGTTTGTAGTTTCCACACAGGACACGTTAGGATTACGGCTGATGCTTTTATTCTGAAAGTACCTGCAGCTGTTTTAGTGACATGAACCTTTAAGTGTTTGGCTTCAAAAAATAAGATTTTGGATAATATGAGTGTTTAGTTGACAGCTTCTTAAAACTCATTTATGATGCACAGTATCTAACTAAAGCTGCTAATAAGCTATAAAAGACATTTAAAGGTACTCTAACGTAGACGTTTCTCTGAGTTTGTAGCTCTCGTCGGTCTAATTTGTGGCCTCTGACGTTTCCCCGGGATACACAGAGCATTCCTTCGGGACATGTCATCATGGTTTGATGTTTCTGGGTGAGACTGTGTTTCCCTCTGATGTTGGGTTCAGACTACAGGGAGCGTCGGATTAGATGGTTTTGCGTCACATTGGGTCATTAACATGTCACGAACATAAACATGACAATCATCGCTGTTCGCTGTGTTTCACAACCTGATAAAAGTCTCTGCACACGAGGACCGAGGGACCAACACAAATGTAATCATGTGCTGTGGCGTGCGCGGCAGAGCTCTCAGACCGCTGAGGACGACTTATCTGCGTTTCCGTCTGAATCTGAAAACCCGTTAAAAACCCACGAGGCGACTCAGGGCGGAGTCTTAACGAGATTAATGAATGACATGAGCAGATCGCTATCCCAAACTCAAACCGGACTCCATGATGTTCTCCCTACGAACAACGTGAAGAAAAACGACCTCCTCGCCAATTTATCCCGTAAGACTTTATGTCAGATTTTGCCGTAATTGGAATTCTTGAGTTATGGTCGTAACAGCGAGTTGGACCTTTATCGCTAAATTAAGTGCTAACAATTCCCATCCAATCCTGCGATATCACGTTCATAATAATGAAACGCATGCACTACCTGGAAGAATCCGCCTCCAGGCTTCACCTGTCCCCGCCTTAATTGTTTTACATTAGTGGCGCCTTCTTGGAGGTGAAACTTGGTGGGGTTCCTTCTGTGGAGGTGGAGGAGACGAGATCCTCAGAGAAAGAGCTCCGCCTGGCTCGTCCGAGTGTTTCCCACTTCATTCATACTGTGGGATCATTGTGTGTGTCATAAACCATCAGATCTCCCATCTGATGACGTTCGTCAGCGCTTCGCGTCTCTGCGTTGGGGCCGACATCGCTCTATCGTGGAGTCTCAATCCAACACGGTGACGTAACTGAGCGACGTGCAGTGCTGAGGTCACAAATAGACCGATTCCTGACATGCATGCTACTCTGTGTGTTTAGTGCACTATGATGCAGATGTATCCACTGTATTAAAGCTGTTTAGCTCCTATTTATTCTGTTGGTGGACGTGTTCGTGTAAAATATTTGTTCTATTAAAGTCAGCCAAACCACACCACTGCTCTTGCATTTACTCACCGAGGATCTGCTTTGCAGAGCAGGTTTGAGACACGCTGCGGGACTAAATTTAGCCATGTTTATGTTGCCTAGCATCCCAAAGACACACAGCCAGTTAATAAAGTGAGGAAGGGCTGGGCGGGGGAGTCAGGGTTGCATCATCTGGACCAGGAGCTGGTGGTGGCGGTGATGACGGGTAGCGGTTACAACACGTTGTCACTTGTGCAGTGCTAACTTTATCTCTGCTGGAGTGCAGCATCCTGGGAATGTGGGTGGACTGGGGGGAGGGACTGGAAAGAGAGATGAGGGGGTGCGGAGTGGATCATCGGTCTCATTCCTGAGGACACTTTGGAGGAGGTGCAGCGTCTCCTGAGCCTGACGGAAGGTGAAAATAGAAGCGATCTCAGAAGACGTGGACACGTTTAACCCCCCAGCAGCACATCAGCACCTTCCAATGATCACACGTCACTTTCACAAACATGGCCAACAGTTTACCACAGAGGTCGTTACAGCGCCTAAAACCTGTGACCTGCCGTTCTGAAAACACATCAGCTGACACACACAGCTGGTAAAACTCACGTAAAGCATGCTATTCAAACGGCGTCAGCTGGCCGACAGCTTAACCGCATCTGCAAGCTGCTTTGCAACCCAGCTCCTGATTTAACGTCGTGTCTGCTGCTTTGTTCAGTACTTTATCCTATGACACAGCGACTGGCACGATCAAAGTGACTGTCTAAGCTTGCAGTTTCACAGCCTTTGAAATGGTTGCCTTGAAGCCGGGACCAGGTTTGGTTCCTTTCCTCAAAGCTGCTTTGGTGCATCAGAACTGCGATAAGACGGAGCCAGTCTGTGATTGAATGGTGAAGCTGGTATAATCAGGCAATTAATGGCTAAATAACAATGAGATAGAAGAAGTTTTCTAACCAGAATAAAGCCAGCTGAGTCGAGTCTCCTGTTGCAGACTGACTCAGATTGATTGCACCCTGTTGTCAGCGTTTATAAATTAGACACTAATTATTACAAACCTGGGCCAGTCTGTCTGAGGACTACGAGTCGACTGATCGTTAGGAGACACGTCGCCTCCCACCAGGCAAGCTTGTTGCATGCTCCTCTTCTTGGTGACCAGGTACAATCGTTTACTGAATCGGTTGAAATAAAAGCAACACATCTGCCAGGTTTTTCTGAGTAACTGAGGGACACGAGTGCAGCGCTTCCCACTCCGTGCCTTTCACCTGTAAGTGATCAGCCACGCCTCCCTATTACTGCAGATGAACAGTCGTCTCTGTTGCAGAGTGATGACGTACTGATGGTGGCTCCGGTCCGTTTTCTGTCGTCGTCTTGGACCTCTGAAGCTGTTCATGTGCAGCATGAAATGTTAAAGTCAGTTTTAAAAACTCGGTGTGACTACAGCCCACGGGCTCAAATATCTCACTAACCTCGTGCAGTGGACGGTCATCTCAGATGTTCTGTTTGTCTCTGACCATCAGTGGCCTCAACATGAAAAGAGCAGAGCAGGAATGATTCATAGTCCAGATTGAATAAGCAGATTTTGGCCCTGACTGAATCATCAGCTTTTATTTGATATCTGCTCAGTGTTTCAGGCCTTTAGACTCCCTGGAGTCTCAGGCAGAGCGGAGACATCACGTATCAAATAATCTGTTATCTAGTTCAGTTTAGTTTTATTTGCTTTTTGAATTATATCCAAATGAGGTGATTTCCCCCTTAAATAAACAAAGTGAGAAAGTGAAGATTACTCTGAGAGGGAACGTTAGAAATGAAGGATTCCTGTTTATGCTGAGTTGGATGCCTTCTCAGGCACAGTCTGCTGCGTCCTTCCTGCAGAGCTCTGGATGTTTACGTGCTTTCAGTTTGGTTTATTTGTCACAGAGACGATTAAATCATCCTCATCAGCCTCGCTGATGTCTGACCCTGATTCTGATTGTCAGAGCTTTGTGTCTCAGGCTGTGTGAGGACGGCTCAGAGGGGAAATGCCAATCCTTCCCTTCCCCTAACACAGTGACCAGCGGTGTAAGTCAGCAGCAGCGTGCCTGCTAAAAACACACCCCAGACTCCCGGCCGGAAAGGGCCTGGCACGCAAAGAGCCGGGAATCGGCACGGTTGAAAGGATCGGCCGGAGAACAGGAAGGAGTTTCTGCTCGAACACACCCTCTATCCAAACTTTGAACTAATTCCCAAAAAGGCGTGAGACTGCTCTGTCTTCAGAGGAGAGTCAAGGTCAGCCGAAGAGACCGAGTCAGGAACCATCGGGCCAGATCCTGCCGGCTGCAATGGATTTAAAGCTGTGGAAGAATCATAAAACCAGTGAAACTCTTTCTAATCTGTAAAGGCAAAACTTTGACCACCTCGACCAGGTGTCCTGATCACATGACCCAGCGCCGCACAGGCAGGGACGTAGGCTGACTGCTACATTTTAGGCAGCAGTGAATCAAATGTTTTAGAGATGTGAAAAAGTGTTGTGTGATAAAAGCTCAGACTCTGCCTGTCTCTGATGATGGTGTGCAGTAGGGGTGCAACGATACTCGTATCGATATTGAACCGTTCGATACAGTGCTTTCGGTTCGGTACGCATTAAATTTATTTTATCAACTTTCCTTCTGACGATGCTGTCTGTGTTGAGCGCTCAGTGGATCTGCGCTCGACTACTCCACCTAGGCTGCACAAGCTAGTGAGACAGAAGCTAAGCTCGTTGCAACATGGCAAACTGAACCTCCCCCACCCTCATTCAGATCTGGCGTTTGGAACTATTTTGGTTTTCATGTGACGTATGACCCTGAAGGTAAGGCGTCATGGACTAAAGTAAAACAGTATGTCGGATGTGCCACGCAATGCTCAATTACATGGGTGGGAACTAGTGTGTTAGCGCAGTTAGCTCGTTAACGTGTTGGCCGTCCAGCCCCACGCACGGGGCGATCCGCGGTAGCTCGTTAACGGAGATTTGCCGTGTTGTGGCGTTAAGGTCATTTCAGATTAACGCTGACAGCACTAGTGGGAACAAGGTCACATGACTGGAACTCGAGTCAGACTCGAGTCATTAATTTTATGACTTTAGACTTGACTTGAAAAAATGTTCTAAGACTTGTGACTTGACTTGGACTTTTACACCAATGACCTGGGACTTGAATTGGACTTGAACCGGTTTACTTGAAAAGACTTGATATTTCACCCCAAATATAAAATTTAACATGCATATTATATAGAGATTGAAAATGTGACGTCATTCAGGGGTAAACCGCAAAGGATTCTGGGAACTCGTGGCAAGAGGTACTAGCGCACGCAGGCTTTCAATTGAAATCAGTTCAGCGATAAAAAGAAACACAAAAATGTCAAGAAGCTGTTGTATTATTAACTGCAATAGCCGGTCGCATGACAGCCACGGGAAGCCGACGGGTAAAGAGATCGGTTGTTATCGGATTACGTCGTTGAAGAGAAATTGTTCAGCCATGTTTCCGAAGTAACAAAGAGCGACGGATGCTGGATGCGCCATCAGCAAAGCCCAGACCTACTACAGGAGTCTGCCCAGCATTACAGAAGTACTGATCACATAGACCAAATATAACGTCCCAGAACCCTCCAGCTCACAGGTTAGTCTGCTCCAAGCATTTACACGAAGGTCAGTCTGCTGTTGTAGTTAATGCGTCATTTTCATAACATAATTGGTGATATAGGTTACAAGCAAGTCTGGCGCTGAACAGAAATTGTCGCGCTATGCTCCTTTATTTGTTTATTGTGCATAAATAGTGAATTGTCCTGACACAATATTGCGTTTCGCTTCTGTTATTATGGTACATTGACAAAAACATATACTTTTATTCACAAGGATAAAACATGTTGTTTTGTATCACTAATTGCCCAGTGCGATTACAGCATACAGTATTATTGTCACTGCTACATTTCTGTGATGCTACCAGAAATTATTTCCACTACTAATTAATTACCGTTGAGCTCAAAGGTCCTATTAATAAACGGTTAAGAATGTGTATTTATGACGACATTTGTGAGACTGGTAAACTTATGATACGTACGATGGTCTTTCGTTCTACACGGTGCATTTCAAGGTCCTGCACCCATCCGTCGGTAAACTGTACCTGGGCTTGTTGCAGTGACCTGAAGTTACTATCGTGCCAAACTAGGTATCCCCGACAGAATTTGTTTCCCCTGCGTCGGGAGCACACGCTGGACTGTCCAAATCACGGACAAACAGTATCCCGCATTGTTGATTTTTAGTTTACAAACACTTCTTATAATGACTAACTACTCCTGACATTTTTGAGATCTTAGCTCTTTATACAACGAAGTTATAGTGGGATACAAATAATATCAGGCTGATCCTGCCACAATTTGTTCCCCCTGTGTAAATCACGGACAAACAGTATCCCACATTGCTGATTTTTCGTTCACAAACACTTCTTATTATGACGCATTTCTCCTGAAACTTTGGAGGATTTAGCTCTTTATATAATAAAGTTACAGGAGAATAAAAATAGTTATTAGCCAAAATGTTTATGGTTTATTAAAATAATCCCATCTGATACCCCGTGAGCAATAAATATATAATTTTCTGTTGTAACCCTCAAACTGAATGGTAATGTAACGATACTAATTTTTCACAAAATGAAAACATCAGTACTTCCTGCGTGCTCCCAGCACAGGGGAAACAAATTCTGTCGGGGATACCTACTTTGGCACGACACCGGTCCTACAACCGCATCCAAGAATAACATGCAGCTTATCTCAGAACTGTCGGTGAAAATTATTCTTGGAGCTAGGTTTAATTGAGCTGCATTTTAAAGAGGTGCAATTTCACAATTTGTGTATATTTTCTAAGTTCACTATTTTGTCATGTGTTGAGAAAAACACAGATTTAAAAATTACATGGTCTAATATTTACATTTAGCATAACTGCAACATCTTATTTTTTCGTTTTTTTTTTTTTTAAAGACTCGAAAGGACTTGAAATTCAAAATTTCAGACTTGTGA